TTCGAACACAATTTACTACTGTTCATAATCATATCAATTGTAATCACACGACTTTGACACTTGAGTTTTAGCACTACATGCAGTTACACACAACCATACAATAGGATGACAGTTTTAAAATCTAATGTCACAGGGTATAGGGAGAGATTGATAACAGAAGCTTTGTTTATCGAATCAACTACAAATACATGTAATAGGAATGATTCATCACCTGTCCCAGATATCTGGGAAATTCTACTACCCATACGACAAATAGGACAGAACAAAGAAAACTATGAAACTCAAGTGTCAATGTCGTGTGATTACAATTGATATGATTATGAACAGTAGTAAATTGTGTTCGAAACTGTGTCCAGTAAATAATACTGTTTCACTGTGTGATATATCTAATAAACAAACTAATATGGATTTGGACAGATTATTTTTCGCCTTTAACTACAAATGAAGATGCAGTAAAAATGAGGTGACCAGGTGTCCAATTATTGCGCTCCTTACAATACCACTTTTACCTCTTCGTAACCAGGTAGGATAATCTTCTTAGACAAAGCCTGCGTTGTACAACCGGTATACCTAGTTCTATAAGAGCAAGTAGATTGGTGAACGCACCTAGAGTTGGTTAACTGCGACACCTCGTCCTTCAGGTTGTTGAACAGTGATTGTTGACTAGAAAACGCTAATCTCAGCGACCAAAATTTCAGCATAACAAGATAATTGAGCTTACCGAAATTTGAATACAAGAATTGGCTACACTGTGATATATCCATTAATGTTATTTGAATTTTGTTTTAACGATTCATATCGTCCATTTATATGGACAAGAATATATGTAAGTTTGAAAAGTACTCACTATTCCTATCAGCTCATTTCGTCATTAATCGTACTATTCAATATTAAATTGCGGTGAAGTGTGCAGCCATGTAAACCTCATATTGGAAGCTAATAATGGTTAGGAAGACATGCAATTGTGATAAACATGAAACCGAATATTTAGAGATGTGAGACATTATTCTTGCCAAAAAGCTTTACAAGAATCTTGAATTTAAGGAAGACTTAACCTACGATGACCTAAAGAGAAAGATTTTTTTCATCTTTGAGAACATTCTTCGCAGCAACTCTGAGAGTAGTGTTTTCCAGTTGTTCACTGGTCTGCACAAGCCTGGAAAATATACGACCACTTCTATGTGCATGTGTCATTTCACCTACTCTTATGGAACCAGGTATATTGATCATTCGTCGAGTATCTTGTTTAAAAGGTTTCACGAACTACTATCCCTCATGGTTGCTGTGGCCCTATACAAGGAGTGCAATAATAATTGAATACCATGACGACACTGGTCATTCCACTTCAACAAACTTTTTCACAGTGAACATAAAACTGCCGAAAGCCACATAATTTTGCCTTCTTTGCATTGTTGAAGCTCTAGTCATCCAGACGGAGAAACTGGAGTTCTGCATACAAAGGACAACCACTCCCCCCATCATAGTAATGATCTTGTTGTTTTCAACCAAGTTATTACTACAATTATCCTTTTAAGCTGATTAGTGGCTTTTTAACTCTTACTTAGTATCACATTTTGTCTCGTTTCGGTGTGCATCCTGATTACAATCCATTCATTGAGTTATTTACCTCATTACGTAACTCTACTACTCGTATTCAATTTCTCTTATATATTTTTGTTACTAGTCTCCCTCCTTTGTGAAAAAAATAAAATCGCCTACAAATGCGACTTTACAGCTAAAGTAAAATGAATTCTCAAGTATTAGTTTATAGGGATTTGATTGATTGGTTACTGGATTTCATCATGAGATGGCATCAGTTAGAGAACCATTGGAAAACCTGAGAGTGCTGGACAGCTGTTCCGTCAGCCTAGTTTGGGACTCTTCATCAGTGCACACCCGCCGGGGTTGGAATCCAGGACCTTCTGGTTACAAGGAGAGCTAGCTGGTAGACCAGTAAGATCCGATCCAATGGCCCATGAATTCTAACTTCTGCCAATTCACGACATAGTGCGACCACTTGTCAATGTCTTCAGCGAGTATTTGTCCTCACATTTGACCTGCTGTACCCTAATGGTCACGACTTCCCACTATAACTCCAGGCAACTACCTACCTGAATAGGGTCAGTCACTAGTGAGCAACTCATGAATTCACCGAGAACGACTTCTTCTCGTTCGTTAAAAATAAAACTTACATTCTTAATTAGTTAGTAATCGGCCTTGATTACTTATTCACTTTTGCGATAAATAAGAACTGATTAATTCTAATTGTCAAAGCAGGAAGAAAAAGAAAAGATAAGCGGCAAATTCTTATTCTTCTTGTTTTGAAGAAAGGTAACACGTCGTATGCGCTTTATGAGGAGTCGCCCACGTGCTAAGCTGGTACTCAAAGAAGGAACTGTTTTTTTGGTTTTGTTTACATTTCTTGAGTCGCGAGTGGACTATATAGCTTCAAGTTTCCGTGGCGGTGGTAATATAAGCCTAATCTTCTCTGCTTTCAGAGCTTACTGCCGGCCAGGTGGGGGTTAGGAGTGCTTCAACCAGAAATCTTCAATGTCGCTAGCGTGTAATTCACCACTGAACAACTACCACACGTTTTTCGCAGCTACTTCAGTCATCCCTAAATTGTAATTTTTACCCCTGAAAATCTTACCTCTTCTTCTTCAATATGATACGTTTAGTGCTATGATATTCACAGTGAATGACGTAACGTCGAATAGTACATATTAATACACCTTAGAATATAACGAAATTGCCGAGAACAATACATATTAACCATAAATCAAACAGAAACTGAACATAACTCAATCATGGTAAGAAGCTGGTTAAAACGACAATATATTTACGGAATGCAATTTCGCCACTTTTGATAAGCTTAGAGAAGTGGAGAGAACCGCAAACAGTTACCATCTAAGGAAAGAAATACTTACTCTTCTTATGTTTCTGTACACTAAGATGTATAAGTGAAAAAGAATTCCTGTGACGTTCTTAATCTACCATAAGGGCTTTATAGGGTGTTTTCGAACTCAATAATCTTGACTCTAAGGAATGCGCCGCACAAAAAGAACAGTGAAACATACTATCTGGAAAAAGAGTAGAATACTTGAGGAACAGGATCTCAAAAGATTAGTGAGCATACTAACCAAGAGTATTTAAGGAGCTTCCATCATTTCATACAATTTTTAAAAAGACAGGGAAGGGGAGAAATTGCAGCATGTTCACATTGTGATGAGAACTGGCTGCTGGCCAAGTTGGTAGACGGTAAATTTACGTCAATGTTTACGTCCTCAATATTAGTCGTGAGAAAAATAAGAACAAATATTGATCAACAACCAGTCACATCAGACTTTGCGTAGGCGGATACAATTTGCAGATTGACAATCTGAACTTCAATAAACGGCCACAAAGAGATGAAAGATTAACTTTCAGTGAGAAACAACCAATCAGAAGCCTGTGTTTCTTCGCTTACAATAATCTATAATAATGTACATGAAAATCTATAAATATGTGTTGATTTCCTAAATCAACGATCTGTTGCCTGGCCCTTATCTTCTGTTGTTACAACATTACCTCCCAGACATCACTCTAGGGGTTTGTGATGCACTAACCGATGCTGACCTAAAACAACTACCCTTCAACCCATAACGCTAAACTACTTCCACAGAGTCCTAGGGCTAGCAAATAATAGACGGTATGCAAACCGCTAGGATGACATTCATAGATAGTAAACATCCAAACCACTGAATCCAGCGTTCCAACAACACTTACTGAAAGACGATTTTCCTGAGTGTCTAAACACACGTCTACGGACTTCAGAATTACTGCCATGAGGATATACCACCGGATGCAAACTATTCTACGCAGGCAGCAACAATCGCGTATACACACAGAGTCATCGTATATATCCTCAACTCGGAGAGGGTAAATGGCGATTCAATAGTCTACAAGAGCGATTCCACTTCCACTTATATTCTCTTTCTACCTTTTTTTTTTACCTGTCCATCATTCACACAAACATGCAAGCACAAAAACAAACTACTGTTATGCATCACAGTCATGTTATAACTGGAAAATCAAAACATCAATTCAATTTAGAAGGGAAAAGAATTTATTTATTCATCCCATTAAATCAGTGATCAGTTTTCTGTATATATCTGAGATAGATAGTAAGCGAAAACAGGCCTCTGTCAATTTCAAGCTGCTTTTAACAACATAGTGTACAAAAATAATATGAATAAGTATAAACATTGTGAATATTATAATTTGTCGCAAATTCATTTTCTTTTAGATATGATATTATTATATTAAGGCAAACAAATTATAATAACACACTAATGAAGTCAGAACAAATAAATGTGAATAGTTGGATAGAATAGACTGAAGAAGAATAAGAAGAGGGAATAACAAATAATAAGTTTTATACTCATACAAATATTCGTGATTTGCTTATTTTGACTGAGGGGTGAGTACAACTCGTACATAAACGGACTTCAGTATAGTTACACTGACAATAATACTGATAAAAAATTTTTTCTAAAAGAACAGCTAAGTGCATCATCTAAAGTGTGTTATTCATGTGATAAAAGGGACTACAAATCAAATGACACAATATTATAGCGAACGTATGTATATAATAATAATAATAATAATAAAAATCATTTGATAGGATATTTCATTCAAGAAAAAAGTAAAATAAAATTCAGTCATTGTATTCATATGATATAAGTGTGAAGAGATCATGAGATATTTTATTATTATTATTAATTATTACTATTTTCGAGTACTTTATTCTGACTTTACCAAAAGGTTTAACAAAAAAATATAAAACATAATAATATCATTAAAAAAAACTAATATTTCCCTGAGAACTAAAGTTCGGAAATAAGTAAAAAAAAAAAGAATACAATAAAGAAATATATAATTCAATTCAATGAAGTGACTAATGTATGCACTCAAACAGACGACGAGAAAGCGAGACAGAATTTGTAGGTAGGTGTGTGCATGTGTGTGTGTGTGTGTGTGGATTCAATCAGCTTTAAACCATATTTCATTACGACGATTAATGAGTTTAAATGGTGAATCATAACCAGCAAAATAGAATGGATCTGGTGTATACTTTAAGCCAAGTCGATCTAATGTATCGCCTAATTTACGAGCATTTTTTAACACTTTATCATTGTCTGAAAATCCAGAATAGGTACTTTTGATTTAAAAAGAAGAAGAAGAAGAAGAAGGGGAAAAATTGGTAAATAAAAATAAATAACAATGGTATAATTAACTTATGTAGAAATAAAAAAAAAATGTGAGTCGATGGTTCAACGGTAGAGTGCTGGTCAGACATGCATGAGGTCCGGGGTTCGACTCCCGGCCAGTGCATACCTTTACCCCCCGCCCCTTTAGCCGGTTATAATCTTGACAGAGAGAGAAGGTTTGGCGTGAGGCTAGAAACCACCCTACTTCATAAAAAAACACCACTACTGCTGAAACCTTAAAGCCCTCTGATGTTCCACTTGGAAAGAAAAAGAATACAATAATAAAATAAAATTAATTAGTGACCTGCGATCTGCACACAATTCGAAGTGATTGTTTCGCAAATACAATCTCCTTCGGAAATCAAAATTATTCAGATCACAATAATATGTGATCTCCTTGATACTATATACTACTGATATGAATAGTTCGACACCATTCACATTAACCAGCAGTGCTTATTAACCAAATCGAAAAACACCCGACAGCTATTTCTCTAGTTTTGAACTGAGCTCATTAACACTGGTGTACTTGATCCAGCCCAAGTAACTAGTCAGCAAGCGGGCACTGTGACAGAGCATTAATCAATCACAGAGTAAATTTATTTAGTGAAATCACACAATGATACAACATTATTACTTACTGATAATGTTTCGAGGACAATTTATTCATCATAATTATATCAACACCTTGATGCTTAGAAAACTAACTCAACAGTACCAATATCACAATATACTATATTCAAACCTACCAACAAGAGAAGAATTAGACAACAAAATTCTATTCTCAGATGTCTTAATCAGGAGAACTAACACAGGAAATTTAGAAACACAAGTATACCGAAAATCAATGCACACAGACTAAAAACTCAACTGTAGTAGTAACAACTCAATTGCTCACAAAAGAAACTGTGTGCAGACATTGTTTAAAAGAGTTCGAACACACTGTGGTACGCCGGTGTTGAAAAGAATGGAGGAAAAATACCCACTAAAGGTCTTCAAAAAGAAAAGATATCCTCGTAATTTCATCAAAAGGTGTTTAAACTCGAGTCATGACACCAGCAAGAAACTATCAGTATAGACCATGAGAAAATTCATTCTGAAATAACAGCTAGAATATTAAAACCATTTGAAATAGATACAGCACACAAGCCAACCAGCTAGCAAAATCACTCCATTCGGTATTGCGCAAACCGAAAGATCCAAAAGGAAAAGAAGATAAAATTAACACCACTTACAAAATAAATCGTATGAACTGTAACGGACATTACATCAGTCAAATTGGGCATCCCCTTCAACTCCAAATTGGCATGATATGCAATCTTTCATATCAATGCATGTAGACAATTACGGATTGGGATGATGTCGAAATTTTAAATAGAGAAAATCTAGAAGCCTGGTAGTCAAGTGAATCAGCGACTAACAAACACATTAACATAGATCAAATTTACCAGCTAGTACAAAGTAAATCACGTGACAAAAAGTACAAATTCCAAGTCAATAAAAATAATCAGTAAAAATGCAAACCAATTACCAGTCACGAAGATGGTTGCCAGGAGAGAGATCATTTTACACTAAAACCTGCGCTGAAGATGTTGTCCAGAAAGACGACTAAAGCTTAGCAATTAAATCAACTAGCTCGGAGAACACAACTAAGTCAAAATCATCCACCTGAGCTAGAAATCTTCTGTTTCAAATCCCATACTTTGTTTAATTAATAGTGCCCCCCACCCCGGAGGCCTAGAAATAGAGTGCTTATATTTTAGAGGTGGCTGTATATTTTACGTATTTGGCTTGAGGTTACTGATTCATTTACAGCTTATCCACCCTAAAATAGACGATAGGAAAAGTTGTGCCATTTTTAAACCAGTCTCTTTTATCCTTCTTCATAAGTACTGATGCCTTGATAGTGTCGTTCGGGATGTGTAATTCTGTGTGTAATTCTACAGTCATCATAGCCTGAGTTACAATTCTTTTCTAATAACGCTTTGTAGCGATTCATCATTTATACACCTAACTTCTGACGGTACCGTAGAAGCAGACAGTAGAAATGGGTTTGTAAATCAGCGAAAATGAACAAAAAGTTTACTAGTACAGTATTTATTTTATGTTCGGAAATTTAACTGAAGCAATTTTTTTGGAGTAAACTTCTAAATTAGATGACAATACAATGAAGTGCAGTAAGAAAAATGGGAGGAAAGAATACATCCTATCAGTTACTCGAATATGAACACTCAGAGAGATACCGTGAATTCAGGAAAAATGAGTTTATCACAAAGATTTTCCAAATATACTGCTTGGTGATCAAGCCTTTAGTTACTATGCCGACTGGAATTTTAGTAAGATACTCCAATTCATCACGAGAGATGTGGTTTACATGTTGCTGAAGAAAAATACAACTTACTACTGTATTACGTTACCCTTTTACACAGGATGTAGATATAAACAGCTATATGAGAGCAGAACGTACTTGTAGCGTCACAAATTATAAGACATTTATAGAATACAATTAATCCCCCATAGAAATATTGTATCATTATTATGTAACTCTGATACAGCTACTGGCATTAAATAGTGAAACGTCAATGAGAACAATATCGTTTTGTTTTTCATTCATTGGGAAACACAAAAGCTTCCAGAATACATATGAAAAAAGTCGCTGTCCAGAAAGTATCATGCAGTCAACTCGGTCGCTGTATGTGAAACAAGATGCAATCAAAGATTGGCAGACACCTTTCTCACGTTAACTCTAATTGTGTACACAATTTTATGTGTATCTGCGGCAACATTTACATAGGGAGGACAGAAAGAAGGGTACACCTTAGATTACCTGAACACACATCAAAAAGCCTACATCTCAAGGGCACGAACGCTTTAAGTAGTGTTATTGCCTGACATCTCGTTGATATGAGTCATGAGGTGGGCACCTAGAAATTCTTCACGATTACCAATAGACGGTATAATTCAAATTTCAAGTTTGCCAGAGCGATTGCTATCAACTCATGTGTTCATTAGGAAGCAGTTGGCGGTTTCTCCTTGATCTGGAAACTGGATGCTGTAACTCTTTCCTTTATTGGACTGGCCAGCGGGATGAAACAGAATACGTTGCAACAGCAAGCAAGCTTAGTACCAGAATTTCATAATGTGAGTAGAACCATTACTTAATTATTAGAAAAGTACAACAACGTCAGCAACGAAAAGAACCTTACAGACAGTAGACGTTCATTGAAGGTCTCCTCTCAATAAACACTTCGTTGTCAGTAGGACTGGGTGGATTTGACTTGAAGGCCTCAGGAACGTAGAAACCCATTACAAAGCGCCTTTTCATGACAGACTCACTATCTGGCATGCTTTCGATGGTAACTGGAGCAGTCATAGGCACTTTAACATCTGAAAAGAATATTCACTTAATGATAATTACAAACTTTCAGCATTTTTTCCACCAATATACTTGAACAGTTTCCAAAAGCATTCGTTTTTCGCCTTGTCCATTGAATTACAACTACTCACAGTACAAACCCATTGCAGCGAATCATAGTGACGTAACTCAATATTCTACAAAAAATGGTCGGTAGAAACAAGCTCACGTCTTCATTCCAAGAATTGGTAACAGTATAAGGAGCTGTCTCAATGCCCATGTCAGCAGATTAAAATAAAGTATGGCAAGATCTGTGAATGAAAGAAAAACAGAAATATAATAGGTAGGTTGAAGTCTGAAATTCAGATGAATTACACCTTTTATTCAAATAACAATGCTGTCTTAAACGACGGCGCGAGTGCCGTACTTAAAACACTCTGTAAATGTACCAAAGCGGTTACAACAATGATTTTTAAAAGAAGGAGGTATATTACAGTTAAAGAAATTGGACATTGAATAGTGTTTTTAATCAGCAAACTACAGTATAGTAAGATCTACTTTAGTGCTGAAATGTGTTTTATGTCTAGGAAAACCTCAATTCATAACTGCTAAGATACCACAGGCACTATTCCTGACCGCATTTCTATGTTCGAATCTAGTCGATTGAACTTCTGTTCAAACAACATCTAAATCTCTATGAAAGTAGACTGCAAACACTGAAGTTTGTCTAGAAAAGTCACAAATGATCATATTTTTTCATTCATTTACAAATACCTTCCAGGAAAATATTTACTGATCCGATAGCTCACTTAGTTTACTGGTTTTAACTCATATCTTGCTGCAGCTAACAAAAAGGAACGATATACAAGGCACTCAATGCACTACAATTCGTCATTACTGGGTTCACGCAAAGAGAAAACCTTACAGATAGAACTTAGCCAGTGATACTGCAAACATCCAAACTAGTCGTGCTCATTCTATGTGCATCCATGTTCAAGTCTCTCCATATCCGTTTAATAATAATAATAATAAGAGTATATTCTCATTTTTTACATGAGGGACGCCAGTTTACAGGCATCATCAATATGATAAATTACATATACGATTAGTAAGCATATTAAATAATAGTAATTTAATAAAATACATTTTTTCCTATCTGTGTAGGACACACCAATTGTACAGGCATGGATAAGTATTATTTAAATTACATAAATTTGGTTCATGGTAAAATTATAAGGTTGCAGTCATTTTGTCTATGGGAACAATATGATAACTAGTCATTCAATGGAGCACATCAAGAAATATAGAAATATTGTCTTCGCATTAACAAAAAAACCCAAGTATGTTTTGGATGGATTACAAATACTTGGGAAAAAAATAAAGCTTGAAGTAATTCCTCCATATAACTTTGGTGTGTACGGCATCGGGTCTTATTCTTGATTTATATCCAAATTTGATAATAATTTAAAATAAGTAATACACTTGTATACTTTTGTCAGCATTTTCTTCGTAACATCACAAGTGAATAGTACTCAAGGTGGGCTAATAATAATGACAGTCTGTATTTTCTTATAAACGAGTGTTTTCAAGAAATGCAAGCTATTTTTGCAGGTACAATCAGTTATGTTGTAAGTTACAATCGTGAAGTATTATAAATCAATACATTTTTATTGGTATAAAGGTATATTTCACAACTGTAATCCAGGTTGCGTGGTTGGTGAAGGCAATGCGCAATTCACGAGGGAATTGTAAGATATGGGGCCAATAATGTTTGCAGATCATTTGTCATTGTAAATGGGCAAATATCTACATTCTTCATTCTCATTCAAAAAGTCAAATGGAAGCTGAAATGGTGAGAGACAAAAGAAGACAAACAACAACAACGCAAAAGAAAGCAAGTGGAGTACTTAGGGAGTGATTAATATGTATATATACATTTATATTCTGTTTAGTAATTATAGTTATTTTGGTGGTGTGGAAGTATAGAAAGTTCATTTAAGTGCCACCCTCAATGGAGGCCTAACCCAGCTAGCATTGACTGTTGGCGCGCCTCAGGAAATCAGGGCACACGTTAGACCTATTACAGAAAGTGCCCCGAACTGTTCCAATTCCTGCAGGGCATCTGACGATTTTGACTGATGGGAAAACCAAACGTATTCTCGATTCTACTGTTGGCTATGGAAGACTATTTCCAGGTCTTAGACCTAAGCGTAAAGAGCAAAAGACGCTTCTGGATATAAACATGTGTATGCTTGAAGACAGTATCATGTGCTATTTAACAGTGTCAGCAAATCGTCATTACTCATTACTCTGCAGTCATATACTGTTAACTATATCACCTGATAATGTTAGGATCAATTGAAAACGCTAAAAATCCAACTGACTTGTTGAAATCACACTTAACTAAGGCCGACTCAACCAACCACCTCATCAAACCAACCTAACAGTAGTGGTTCGAATTCTGAAAAGCTAGTTCGAAAACCGGTAGCCTATGAACATTGATAGCCTAGCTATTTTGTGTGTATAACTGTTGTGTCCTTCTTCGTTTGAGACGGTTGTTAATAATAAAGTGTTTCCACCAAACTTCTTTTGACTTTTCATTTACATTTTGTCCCAGCGTGCTTGATATATCATTGTGCTGTCAATTATAGAACATGTCGAGCTGGCGAAACTCGTTTAAGTTAAAGGAGATACAAAGAACGTGAATATGCTTACATCGCATGGCCACATGTACAAGACGAATTTACTGAAGTGTCATTAGAGAAGTCATCAACCTCATCGATGCCGCACACCTCGACGCCTTCTACTGATATGGTTCAAGCTACGGTAACAGTATTTCGAACAACGTTGACGATCGCATAAACAAAGGAATGGTTGTCAAACAGCAGATCAAAAATAAAATTTCCCGCACCAGAGAAGTCTGTCCCAGGGGAGTCGTTCAAATTCTGAGAATAAAACTCTCGGCGATATACTCAGCAGTTTGGAGAAAATTAAAGAAACTACTTGTTGTCGATACCAGCGCTGAAACACCTCTAGCTGCCTGGCGTTAACACAGGGGAGATGGGAGTAGAGGTGATTCTCACGTCCATGCGCTGAGCATTCGCGCCGCGCAATCACGTCTTTGGGCAGCGGCAGCCTTTCACACTTGTATCTAACCCAGCAGATAAAGCACGGAAGAACATCTTTGGCGCCAGGAGGAACTGGCCCTTATGGCCTTTGAGGGAGGCCAGTAGAAATGGCATGTTCACGTATTCTCCACTAGTTCGAAGAATCATTATTCCTGGATGAAGTGGGGGAAGGACTTATCAAGAGTAACTCAGTGGAACACAGGGTTTCAAACTTGAGTTTTGAATTTTCGGCAGCAGTGGTGCTGATTTGCTACGGGATGGGTTGTTAGCTTCATGCCCAATCTTCTCTCTCTACCACTCTTAATAATGGGTCAGCGAGGTAAAGAAGTGCATCAGACGGAGATCTAACCCTGGACCATATGCGTGGTTGATGAGCATTCTTGCGCTGTGCCACCGATGCAGTCATATGGCCTCCTAACAATCAGGCGGCAACCGAATAATCTCGTACGCTGTCACAGCCCCCAAAATTAACTTTGCATTTTCAGAATGCTGTGAGAGCACACACACGCCGATAATGGAGACTTCGATAGTTCCCTCGATCACCCCTCAGTGCAAGACATACCTCGAGACAATCAAGCACGACGATGGGCTGTACCAGCCCTTGTGCCTACATGCTGCGCCTTATGTCATGCAAATGTCAGAGGGCCCATGTATGATAACAACGTATTTCAGTATTGGTTTGTAGAGATTTGGTTGATTGGTTACAGGATTTCATCATGAGCTGAAATCCTTTATGTATTTATTCCTATCTAAGAACAAACACATCATTTGTAGTGGAATGGATAAGTATTATTTAGATTACATCAATTTGGATTTTGGTGAATTTACATGGCTGGCGTAATTTTTGTATTTGGTTTGAGGGAGCATTCTGTTAACTAGTCATTCAATGAAGAGTATTTGGAAATACAGAAATATAATCTTCGTATTAACAAAATACCTAAGTAAGTGTCGGAATGAATACAAATGCTTGTTGTTACATGGTGTTCCGTGCGAGTAAGTTGGGTAACATGTAGAAACCCATTTGTATATATATATTTAATCCTGTTAATGCAGGAACATACCAAATGTACAGGCATGGATAAGGTATTATATAAATTACACATGTTTCGATGTATGTTGAATTTACAGTTTGTTTGTTCTTTCTGACATTAGAGTTAGTCGGAACAGTCTGCAAAATAGTCTGTCTGTGTAACACATAGAGAGATATAGAAATATTGTCTTCGCATTAACAAAAAACCCAGACTTCAGATGAATGTAATACAAGTATCTGGGAAAAATAAAGCTTGAAGTCAATTCTCCTATATAACTTTGTTGTGAACAGCATCCTTGATTTAAAGTTAATTGATGTATTATTTTGAGGTGAGTGATGTATTTATTCCATTTTTGTCAGCAGTCTAATCGTAGTTTTATAATAGGAAAGAAATTTGATCTTTGATACGAAAATTAGATAAGGTCATGTTAGATTGTTATACTGCATCAAATGGGTCGATTCTAGAACTATCCATTCGCGCCATTTGCGTCAACATGGCAGACTGTACATGTAAGTTGAGTAATACATTGAAAACTGCTTGAAAACCAGTTGTTTCTTTATATCAGATCAAGAATACTCCTTGTACAGAATGTTGGCCAGCGTTTCCAAGTGGTTGCATCGGATAGTTCACGGAATTTGAGTTTGAATTTACTTAAATGGTCATTTCAGTTTAGATGTTGGGTTGTTCGACCTCGACCAGGAGGTATATAGAAGAGTACGCTCAACAGCAGAATAGCAGAAAGATAAAGTATGTAAAAATGAAGAGAACATTAATATTTTATGTATATATAAATGTTTATAAATGTATATCATTGTATAGTAAATACTACCTATAATCTAGTTGTTCTTTCATGTATTTTTGCGAAGTCTTAGAGTTTATTTAGTGTCGTAATATTTAGTAATGAGTCTAGGCGTTATAGTGTTCTAATAGCTCATGCGTTTTAGAAATAAGTGGTGCGGTGTGATTGGCATAGTCATTTGGATGAAGTAGTTTATAAAGCAAGCGTTT